TGTTGTAGTTCTTTACGTCGCTGTTTAGAGGCCAACAGTTCTTGTTCAGTCAACTTATTACGTCCAGCCCCACCCTAGCAAATCTTCGTCTTAATATCGATCAAAAGTCAGTTTTCATAATACTTTCGTAATCGTAATATTTCGAATGGGTATCACTTTACCTTGTTGAAGTTGTTGCAGTTGGTACCTCAAATACTTGATAACGTCTTCTTTCACTTTCCTGGTGTTTTAGGCCAACTGTCAGTCAATATTCAAGAATGCGACGTGCTGCTTGTAGAGCATTGATAATGCGACTGGCTTGGTACTAAGCGTTATTTGTTTTCTCGGCATTGTTGTGTTGTACTCGGCATTGTTGTGTTCCACAACAATGCCGAGTATAAACAAACATAAGTTGACATTGTTGATGACGTAATTTATTGATGACAACGAGGAATCACAAATTTTTATAGTAAAATAAAAAAAAAATAAGATGCTTGTTTCTTTAAGTACAATGTAGCCTAGAAAACCAGTTCCATCGCCAAGTGTTCTTCAGAAACTTTTACCTGCTCAGGTACGCCATAAATTCTCCGCCTTCAATGTGACCGGATAATTACCGCGTTAAAACAATCCGCTTTGGGTCCTATACAGAGCCAGTTGAAACCATCCCACTTCCCCCCGCTCTAAATATCCTCTGGATAGCGAGCATTCCCCAAATCTAATTTATTAAATTTCTTGTTAATGCCGTATAAAAATATACTGACTTTACCGAATGGTTTCTAATATTATGATCGTGTTCTCCATTCTAGCCAAATATTCTCCGGTTCCCATTTGAACCAACCTCCCTGCTAGGTTTTAATACAGCTGTTTTTCCCAGTAAATTAACAAATCTACCAACGTAGATCAGAAGCTGATGTGTCACATTCGGTTACAATTCCTCTGATTCCTTAGGCCTTCTCGATGGCGTAAAGGTTTACCAGACTGCACGGAGCTACAACCCAGAAGATAGCCATCTTCAAGTGCATATTTAATTCCTTTCTACGCAGGCAACTCTTTCCTTCCAACAACAGTAGGTCCTTAAGAATCGTCCACGCTCTCAAAGACTACGGCGTTTGATAAAAATAGAACAGATACTTGCAAAGGAACAGATTAACTAGACTGAACTGGGTCACGATTTTGTTACGACGGTGACGAATCTCACGAATTCCTTAACTGAGTGACGTCACTATTTTTCTTTGTTTCACGGCCTAAGTCGTGTTATCAATCACTGCCTGTATAAGGTGTTATGATAAAGACTGAAGTGCCAGTGGTTAACTGACAATCAAAATCACGGTCTGTACGGAGTTTATCAGTGATTAAAAGGACCTTGGAAACATTTCAGAACAGCTTACTTCGAGCAAAACCTGGCCGAGAAATGGCGCCTATGCCCAAAAATTTACGTTTCTTCAGAACTACGCAAGTTTGCAAATGACTCTATTATGTACAATCCCATTCCCTTGAAGAAACTACGTAAGTTTGCAAATGACTCTATTATGTACAATCCCATTCCCTTGAAGAAACTACGTAAGTTTGCAAATGACTCTATTATGTACAATCCCATTCCCTTGAAGAAACTACGTAAGTTTGCAAATGACTCTATTATGTACAATCCCATTCCCTTGAAGAAACTACGTAAGTTTGCAAATGACTCTATTATGTACAATCCCATTCCCTTGAAGAAACTACGTAAGTTTGCAAATGACTCTATTATGTACAATCCCATTCCCTTGAAGAAACTACGTAAGTTTGCAAATGACTCTATTATGTACAATCCCATTCCCTTGAAGAAACTACGTAAGTTTGCAAATGACTCTATTATGTACAATCCCATTCCCTTGAAGAAACTACGTAAGTTTGCAAATGACTCTATTATGTACAATCCCATTCCCTTGAAGAAACTACGTAAGTTTGCAAATGACTCTATTATGTACAATCCCATTCCCTTGAAGAAACTACGTAAGTTTGCAAATGACTCTATTATGTACAATCCCATTCCCTTGAAGAAACTACGTAAGTTTGCAAATGACTCTATTATGTACAATCCCATTCCCTTGAAGAAACTACGTAAGTTTGCAAATGACTCTATTATGTACAATCCCATTCCCTTGAAGAAACTACGTAAGTTTGCAAATGACTCTATTATGTACAATCCCATTCCCTTGAAGAAACTACGTAAGTTTGCAAATGACTCTATTATGTACAATCCCATTCCCTTGAAGAAACTACGTAAGTTTGCAAATGACTCTATTATGTACAATCCCATTCCCTTGAAGAAACTACGTAAGTTTGCAAATGACTCTATTATGTACAATCCCATTCCCTTGAAGAAACTACGTAAGTTTGCAAATGACTCTATTATGTACAATCCCATTCCCTTGAAGAAACTACGTAAGTTTGCAAATGACTCTATTATGTACAATCCCATTCCCTTGAAGAAACTACGTAAGTTTGCAAATGACTCTATTATGTACAATCCCATTCCCTTGAAGAAACTACGTAAGTTTGCAAATGACTCTATTATGTACAATCCCATTCCCTTGAAGAAACTACGTAAGTTTGCAAATGACTCTATTATGTACAATCCCATTCCCTTGAAGAAACTACGTAAGTTTGCAAATGACTCTATTATGTACAATCCCATTCCCTTGAAGAAACTACGTAAGTTTGCAAATGACTCTATTATGTACAATCCCATTCCCTTGAAGAAACTACGTAAGTTTGCAAATGACTCTATTATGTACAATCCCATTCCCTTGAAGAAACTACGTAAGTTTGCAAATGACTCTATTATGTACAATCCCATTCCCTTGAAGAAACTACGTAAGTTTGCAAATGACTCTATTATGTACAATCCCATTCCCTTGAAGAAACTACGTAAGTTTGCAAATGACTCTATTATGTACAATCCCATTCCCTTGAAGAAACTACGTAAGTTTGCAAATGACTCTATTATGTACAATCCCATTCCCTTGAAGAAACTACGTAAGTTTGCAAATGACTCTATTATGTACAATCCCATTCCCTTGAAGAAACTACGTAAGTTTGCAAATGACTCTATTATGTACAATCCCATTCCCTTGAAGAAACTACGTAAGTTTGCAAATGACTCTATTATGTACAATCCCATTCCCTTGAAGAAACTACGTAAGTTTGCAAATGACTCTATTATGTACAATCCCATTCCCTTGAAGAAACTACGTAAGTTTGCAAATGACTCTATTATGTACAATCCCATTCCCTTGAAGAAACTACGTAAGTTTGCAAATGACTCTATTATGTACAATCCCATTCCCTTGAAGAAACTACGTAAGTTTGCAAATGACTCTATTATGTACAATCCCATTCCCTTGAAGAAACTACGTAAGTTTGCAAATGACTCTATTATGTACAATCCCATTCCCTTGAAGAAACTACGTAAGTTTGCAAATGACTCTATTATGTACAATCCCATTCCCTTGAAGAAACTACGTAAGTTTGCAAATGACTCTATTATGTACAATCCCATTCCCTTGAAGAAACTACGTAAGTTTGCAAATGACTCTATTATGTACAATCCCATTCCCTTGAAGAAACTACGTAAGTTTGCAAATGACTCTATTATGTACAATCCCATTCCCTTGAAGAAACTACGTAAGTTTGCAAATGACTCTATTATGTACAATCCCATTCCCTTGAAGAAACTACGTAAGTTTGCAAATGACTCTATTATGTACAATCCCATTCCCTTGAAGAAACTACGTAAGTTTGCAAATGACTCTATTATGTACAATCCCATTCCCTTGAAGAAACTACGTAAGTTTGCAAATGACTCTATTATGTACAATCCCATTCCCTTGAAGAAACTACGTAAGTTTGCAAATGACTCTATTATGTACAATCCCATTCCCTTGAAGAAACTACGTAAGTTTGCAAATGACTCTATTATGTACAATCCCATTCCCTTGAAGAAACTACGTAAGTTTGCAAATGACTCTATTATGTACAATCCCATTCCCTTGAAGAAACTACGTAAGTTTGCAAATGACTCTATTATGTACAATCCCATTCCCTTGAAGAAACTACGTAAGTTTGCAAATGACTCTATTATATACAATCCCATTTCCTTGAAGAAACCGCCCACCATCAGAAGCTCCAACAATCCTGCCGTTCGTACGTCATTAGGGTGACGAACGCACTTTCTGTCCAGTAAATCTCGCGTGGTTCAGCTCAAGGGCGAGTCCAACAATCTTTTATTGTCCGAAAGCTTTTACTTGCATGTCGAGAACAGTCCACCTCCAAAATCATATTTTAACAACAAAAATTAATCTTACTAATTAATCAGCTAATTTGCCTCTAAAACTGCGTCATTAAGACCGAACATTTTAACGGAGCTTTGGTCGTACGGGATGCAGCTTTAGAGCCAACGCGGACGACTTGTACAACATTTTGGTTGTAAGACCCCAAAGAGAGTAGTTCACGTGGAAGACCGATGATGATAAAATTGATCGGTCTCAAGTCGCAAGACACAACGCCATGTGAAGTAGAGCACAGAATCAGTGACGTGGTTCAAGGTCATACGAAGGTCACAACTCGCGTGATTTCGTTCGGCAAATTGAATAATATAGGGCGACGGAGGAAGAATTCAATTTTGAAGAGTCGTGCTTCGCACTAATTACTGTCATTGCCATCAAATTCATTTTCGAGCGGTCGTTCATTCGATTTACTCAGGTTGAGTGACCCCCACTAGAAATACTGAATACATTTGAGTGCCCATCACGTCGAAGTATCCGAGCAAGAAATCGTCCTCACTGGAGCGGAAATGAGCGAGGCTATCCACAGTTTACTAAATTGGCAGTGACCTCGCGCCCTCACAAGACAGCTTCTAATTGGTCATGTCCGCAATCAACCGTACCTGGAGGAAATGAATTCTACTGTGCTGCCACTTCGCGCTGCGTCAAAGTAATGAATGCGCCAGCAGACTCAACTACAGAAACTGTGACGTCAGAAACCACTACCATTATCCAATAATATTCCACCGAGAAGCAGATGGTGCTGTTATGTCTCTCGTGTGCTGGCTGGCCAATTTTTATCCATGCATAAAGAAAGCTGAGAGGCGGATACGTATTTCAATATGCAGCAGTTGTCGTAACAAATGCGACAACAAAGACCCCCGGACACGGAGAGTTTGTGAAACACGTCCAATGATTTAGGCTACGAGTACAAAAGCCGTCATTATAACAAATCACTACAAATATCTCAAAAGTTCTGCCCTCTGTTACGAATTCAAGACCACTGTTTACATTTTGTTCCCAACAAATTCCGCTTTCTCCAGAAAAAAAATTACAGATATCTGCGTCATTTATCGACTCGCGAAAGAAATTTCATGGGTCCTGTAAAGGTAATAACCTGCCAATTTTTTACGTAAATACGTCTATATGGAAGGGTCAGTGTTATTCCGCAAAAAACTGTTACGAAAAATGTGTAAGATCCCTATCAACAATGTGTAAATATGGACCGACAACAATGGTCAGCTTGCGTGCATTGTTATGTTACCTAGGAATCGTCATGTTTACTCGGCATTGTTGTGTTACATTACTGCCGTCAACAATCCGCTTTCGTAACAAGACGTAAATATAATTTAAATACAGAGACGTATTTACGTCAAATTCTCCGGAACCGTGTAACTTTTTACTTTTGTAAAAACTTTATACTGTTCTGTGGCGTTGTTTTATGCAACTAGAATGTCGACGTACTCCCGAGAGAAACCATTCGAATCTTGTTCACATCTTATACAGTTCTTTATCATCTGATACGAACCAATCTGGCGACGATGGATCAAACCAATTCCGGAACGCTGCACAGATATCATTAAGCCATTAAGTTCACTTTATGGACCACGCACAACTAACCTCCTTATTACCTTGTTCCCGAACATCTTCCTTCTTGGCTCGCAACACCAGGCCGCTGTGCGGAATGAAACGTGGCCAGCGCTTATCAGCGTCAATGATTTGTGTGTGACAGGAGTCGGGATGCAACATTCAGACTGACAAGCAGATTACCGTAAGATTTGATAGGAAGGAAGTCGATTACAAGCGGCCAAACTACTGTAGGAACAAGGAATATGTTCAGCACTTACCTTCGCATTTACTAAGCGTTCAGTTTCCATGACCGCTTCGTACCTGCTAACAACTCTTAGCGAAAACATGATATCGCGATCATGCCACCAGCAATCCGTCAAATTGCCTACGAGACGAAAATTGTTTTCATTTCCTTCGATCCGTTCCCTCCTGAAACCGCTCGATATTCCTACGTATTACGTCAGCATACCCGGAATTCTGTTGACGTCACAACACGTATTACAATTTCCCTCTAAACGCTACTAAAATTTCGGTAATTCTTACGTAAGCATCGGATTTCATATTAATTGTTCACGCGTTTTCTTCAACGCAACAGACTCAAGTTATGACATGACGGAATTTTCCGGTGCCGCTAAGTTACCGGAACGGATACACAGAGCTGGCTGGCTACGGTCTAATCAGACAGAGAAACAGCCGTTGCCTTACCGTTGACTCGTCATCTGCTTATCCTGGGCCACCGGGACGTCTCCATTGCAGAACAGAACGGCCGTACTGTCATGGCGCTGCTACGATCATTCTGCGAGCGAGCGGCAGTTATCAGCTCATGAAGATGGATGAGGTTGGAGCCGACGCGCAGGAAAGTTGCGGGGTCGCCCTCACTTCAATGCAGCAGCAGTCAGAACACAGACAGCGGCGCGATCCCTGAACAATATGGCACGGAACACGAATACACTCTGTGACAACTACGCTCGACCCTTCCTTTTCAACTCTGACGATCGTGCAAGTGTTGAAATTTCAATCGGGCGCCTATTCGTGGAGATCTTGACAAAGTTCCCTGTACGTCAAGAACGTTTTACGAAATGAAATGCCATCTATTTATACGCTACAGAAGAAGGACGAAATTCCCGTGCGTCAGTCTGCCAGGCGAAATAAAAATGCAACACAAGGTAATTTTGGGCTACCATGATGCCTCCTTCAATTGTTTCATTTGTGTCAGCATCCGGCATTAAAATAGTATAATGACTTATAAGAGATTCAGTCATATACTAAATCATTATTATAAATATGAAAAAAAAGGAACTGGATAGTTCATAATGTCAAGAATGATTTATTTATTGCCTTTGGAATGCCCACACTCCTGGTACCGAAACACACTCTGAATATTAATCAACTGGATTTACTGGTACAGCTTCATTCTTTGTCCTACACATCATCTGGCATGGATCTACAGCACGCCCACACCTTGCTGTCACACATCCCCACTCTGTAATTCATATAAAACACTTCTGAATTGTAGCCTATACTCACATGATGTACAGCAATAATTGTTTCAGATTTCAACCTTAGCAAAGTGCGGAAGGTTTCATCTTAATTTAAAACATTTACTGCGTTCAATACCTTAATGCCCTTTTTGCAAGTAATTCTCTTTCACACAGACACCACTAGAACAAACGTGTAAAATGGACCACAGCTGGAAAACAAATTGTACGCAGAGTGGTCTGGGGCAGTGCTCTCATCCTTCACTGAAAGCCACAGCAACGTAAGCGTGCCGAAGTGTCCACGCGTGCCGAACAGTGACAAAGCGTGACCAGCATTGAAATCGTGACAAGGGATCAACATGTGTCGAAACGTGACGAATATTTACAAAGCGTGACCAAGCGTGTAACGGCTTGACGAATTGTGGGCATAAGTGTCAAAACGTCACAAAAATTTGCGAAACGTTACGTAACCTAACAAAATCCACTAAACAAACTTAACCAAACCTGACCTAACCTAACTTAACCTAACCTGTCGCACTGACCGACGGAAACTCCTTCCTTCCTTACCTCATTGAGTGGTCCGCATACTGGGCAGTCCCTACAAGTCAGCGGTCATGATCAGTGGATCCAGTTCTACCAACCTACACGATGCTAACCATGTTCATTTGAACGTCGGCAATTGTTTAGCGTACATCCCGAAGCAAACAATACTGCAACGTAATGCAATGAGCAAAACACGAGCTTGACTACAAATAGCTTTCCTAGTGCAAAAAAAATATAGGCCATAAATGCTTTTAATAATTGCTATAATTTTAATCAGTCCCAAAGCCGAACACTGCCAGTGCAGAACTGTGGGACCTGGAGCCAACCAAACTGCCATAAATCCTCCACATTGCACTGTGAATGGCCTATGCTACGGCATTATCTATATGCTAACTACAGACACATTATTGCTTAGTTTCGGAATATCCTCAGGTTTATAAAAACATTTGCGTAAATATCTATAAAGAATACAAAGGGACATACCTCAAAAACCGATGTTTCGTTAACCAGTCAACTACGATAAAGACGATGATGTCCTGCACAATTGCACTTCCTGTTATAAACGTTATTCCTCATCCAGCACAAAATGCAATAAACTACATGTTTAAGAAATTAAAGACAACAAAATGATGATTAATTATTGGAACAACAACGTAAACTTCCTTTACTGAGTAAAGCATGCAGAACATTTCCCTCCATAAACTATCAGCAACACACTTGATGTAAGAACAAAACAAATACAGAATGCAACCAATCAGTGTTGCCATTCCACAAAACAGAACTTCCTTATTTGTAATGACATCCATAAATGTTCACCACTTTAGTAATGTTCAGAACAAAGTTAGAGAATAACATAATATACAGTATTTCTGATATGTTCTGCTATACAGTGTATCCCACCTAACTCTGTGGCCTAACACAATTTTCTCATTAAAAATATATTATATATTAATTTTTTTTCAAATAAAATTTACACAGTATCTAATACAATGAGTGATAAAATATTATGGGATATTATTAATAAGTTATCAAGGTTACTTTCTTTTTCTCACTGGAACCCTTTTTATTCTTTAAGCTAGGATTACAGTTAGATTCCAATTCACACAATGCATTCATTTTTAATGAACCAATACCACATTGTCACCACTCCAAGTATGAGAGACAAATGCAACAACGCATATTTACACTGATAATTGTAATGTTCATACAAAAGTTACTGTAATAACTGTTCACAATGGTAACCACTTGCACAGATACACTTCTGGACACACTAAATTGAGTAGAAATTCACAGACAGCAAATTTTGAAATGATACAGAAGCAAATGCTACAATAATACATTGTCCCTTTTTTCCTGCTGTGGTTGACAAAACTTTATCCTTTATTGTTCTCCAAAGAATGAAAAATATCAGGGTCAATTCGGTGAATGTGGTGCCCACCCACAGGTCTGACATGCCTGATCCATCAACAGGAAACTGTCCATGAAGCATTCTTTCAGCTACATGTGCAAAATGTGTGGGGCGACCATCACGTTGGAACCACAGTGCCAGACAAGTTTGCAATGGTTAATATTTCAGGAGGTCATGCAGTGTCTCTGATGGAAGAACTGCATACCTGCATCCTGTTAATCCTTCAATAAAGTATGGCCCAATGATAAGATCGCCAGTGATGTCGCACCACACTTACTTTAAATCGCCGCTGGCTGTTTTCAAGTTCATTTGGCCGAGGTGTTTATTCTTGTACCTGCGAGCTGTACAGTGGTCTGAAAGATTTTATCAGACCTCATTACTATAAGTATGCAGTATGTTGCATGTAGGTTATTAATTACTGAGAAATTGAAAGTTCGTTGCATAGTGTGTCTCGCAGATATGTCATGATAGAGGTTATTTATAGGGTGGAGGTGTTTATTCTTGTTGTATCCATCAACAGAATAGCGCTGTAAAACCTTTAATAGAATAGAATATAATTTATTTACATTCCATAGATCCTGCATAGGCCTAACTAAATTCAGAATATAAAATATGTCACAGCATAAATACAATACTCATTTCTAATATAAATATAAATTACATAGTCTACTAAAGTATTACAGCCAAAATAATTACACAATTGTAAATATAAGTGAAAATGAAAACTAAATTCTGCTGTTGGTTATACAGAATACAAATACAACATAAGAAAACAATTACAACAACAAACAGAGACATGTGATGACAGACTGATAAGAATAAGAAAAATCTATAAAATTTGATGTGGCCAGTACCAATCCACAACATAAAACTTTACTAAAAAGACCAGGATTTTACAATGAGCTGCTTTGTAGCCTGCCGACTTCCTCACAAATCAGTGGAATCCACATCGTGGGTTTTAAAGAATAGACGATGGAAAAAGTCCTGACAATGAAGAATTTTAAGTGTAATCCACCATCATCGAAACCCTTTAGAATTGATATTTCTGAGCTCGGCTGACTAATTGGCTAAATGCTGCGTGTCAGCCACTTCCTTATACTTTCTGCATGCGTTTTAATTTCCATTTGTATGGCCTTGGCCTCCTTCCACTGTATGTGATGCCCATCACAGGAATGCTTAGATAACCTACTCTCCAATAAGTCTAAATTTCTCTGCAATGCCTTTGATATATGGGATTACTGCACTGCTCAGGCATGTCTCAGCTGTTTCTCGTCAGATTTTTTTTAAAAATGGAGTCGATTAAGTGCCACTTCTTTGGTATACTCTTGCCATTCTGTGCACATGGTCATTGCTCTCTTGATGATGCTATCTATGCATCACTCCTCTCTTGAAGTGAGGAGGATAGTTCGAACTGAAATGAAGATAACGGCCAGTGTGTGTGTATGGGTTTCCTGTAAACTTGAGTTAGCGCGGCTGTTCCATTTCTCTACATCAGAACATCAAGGAATGGAAGTAAGTTTTCAGTTTATATTTCCAAGGTGAACTGTATGGTAGATGAGTATGAAGATTTCTGTCTTCTGGGTTGTTGCGCTGTGTAGTCTGGTCGATGTTAACCAACGTTTTTTTAGTTTCTCCATACCACGTGGCCACCCGACAAATGTGTCATTCAAGTATCTGTGACAAGGCAAGTTTGTGGGACACTGAGTCCAGGGCTATTTGTTCAAAATGTTCCAGAAAGATGTTACCAATATCTGAAGAAGCAGAAATTCCCATTGCCATTTGGCTCTTTCATTGACAGAATTTATCTTCCACCTGGAAGTACGTGGTTCCTACAGACCTCAAACAGCTCCATTTCTTCAATTTGCAGGGACGACTGCTCAGGAAGAGTATTATCATCACCAAGTTTGTTCGAAATGACTTGCAAAGCTCATTTATGGGGACAGTGATAAAACAGGCTGACTACATCAAAGCTAACAAAGATGTCTGTTCTTTGCACCTTGAACATTTATTGAAATACAGATCATGGACAAAGTCCAAAATACTACTTTTTACAGATGACTCACCATTATCATCATCATCATCATCATTTAGAAAAGATGCATTTTACACTGTGAAAGCACAAGCATTATTCATTATGTTAATAAAATTCTGATTGTTTCTGTAATTTTTATTTCAATTATGAATATTACATTCTGCTCAATAACTTTGATGTAGCATTACAGTATATTATATTTCAAATATTAAAGCCGATTCTTAAACATTTTAAACGTTGAATTATACTTTATTAAATTCAACATGTTCTGCTGGATGTAGATCATTTCTTCTCCATGGATTGGACCATAAATCAGTATATTACAACAACGGGGAGGAGAAATGAAAAGTTAAAAGAACATGCAAACCTGCAAAACAGAACTAGGCTATTGGTACTTACATGAAATATATAAATATCCTATCTAGAACAATATGTAAGAATTAAACAAGCTTCGTGACTCAATCCACTACAGTTACTCAGTCTCCAAATTAATTCAAAGTTGTCTTTTTCTTCAGGCAAATCCAAATCCTTCAGAGCACTCATGGATGGCCTTGAGGAGGTAAGTGCGCAACTTGTCGTACGTCTCATACACAGGAAGATCTAGTTGATTGAAACTGCAATCAGAGATGAACAAATGCCGTAACACGTATCTACCAAATTGTAAGAAACAATTATGATGTACAATGAAGAGCACATGAAAAAACGCACAAGCCACTAACAAATATTTACATGTTTTCATTATATAAACAATTGTGCGTTTGTGAAACAGTGACAGTGTTAAGTCTGGGAGAACTGCGGCAGATCAACTGAACAAGAAAGGCAAATTATGGCATAATGGGAAATCAGTGTAACGGTAAACAGTAATGTCCTTCTGCATGTCCTGTCTTCGATATAAAATTCGAAGTGATGGTGATTATGCGTGCAGATATGCAAAAATAATTTAAAAGAACAAGTATTATTTTCTATTGAAAGCAGTTCAGTTCAGTTCATACATTCTAACAAGTTTGTACAATCCTGATAATCCTTCTTCTTGACTTAATCCCCCTCACAATATTGGGGATGATATTAGTAGTGACAGTGACGACGACGACAAAGTTTCACTTTCTGTTTGCCACTGCTCCAAGTCTTTACAAACAAAACACTGCGAGTATTATTGATTCTACTACGTTTGAAACCATCATCACATTATAAAATTAAATTGAATTATTAATGATTAAATTACACTTATTCGGTCTTGAGCTATGAAAATAAGTGTCAATGTTTGGAGTAGAAACTACAATCGGGTCAAGGGTTCAGACAGACGACAGACACATACCATGTGTGCGCAGAAGGCAAACGATCTGTTGAACGATCATCACGGTGGATTTGAAATTTTTGAACCCCATTCATGCCCTCCAGGGCTGCAAAACCTTGGAGTGGCACTTTAGAAGTTCCAGTCACGAACTGCAGGAACTTGGCACGGGCAGCCTGGTCAAACGAGCGCAGCGCTCGCCAGAACCACTGAATCTGTAAAACACATTTGACAAGATTACATAAAATCCAAAGGAGGAATAAACAAGAGAAAATGTAAAACCATAATAAAATTATTGTCCTTACTCATGCATAAAACACAGTCTTGTTTTTTCAAAATTATTCGTTCTTAAAATTAAGGTGCCTGTAATAAACGAGGGAAACTGCGCAGAAGCAGATGGGATTTTAAGGATTTTTTCCATCATTTAGCTGGAACAGTACCTCCTGAATAAAAGGCAGGAGTCCTAATCACTGCACTGCGACATTCAACACACCAGAAGGAAAAGTGAACAGGAGGAGCTTTCAGAGGGAATGTTATGTGACAATGTCTCTATTCTCTTCAATCTGCGTGCATGCTCTCTCTCTCTCTCTCTCTCTCTCACCTCTAGGGATGTGGGTTGATATTTGTGGTACTCTGTGTTAGCCTTCAAATCTTCAATATCCACATTGGGCAACCCTGAGATCAACAATTCCAACTCCTGCTCATTGAAGATCGATATGAGCCGCTTTGGGATGATGTCATAGAAGCCTTCCAAAAAGGCGTTGATCCTGTAAACCACGAGATATCTTTAATCATTACCAATCCCGTCTATTAAACACACAGCATCAGGAAGGGCTCGAATTGAATGGTCTGCACCAAGTGCTTGCTTATGCTGTTGATGTTAATTTGCTGGGGGATGGTGTGGGTAGCATAACCAAGAATGCAGAAACTCTCCTACAGGCTAGCAAAGAGACGGGCCCAGAAGTAAATGCAGACGAAAGTAAATACATGGGCGTGATACAAAATCAACAAGGGCAGAACATAATTATAAGTAACGCATCATTTGGAGATGTTTTAAAATATAAGTATCTGGGAACAATAATAACAGAAATGTTGAAGAGACGTCACTGCACGTGTTTCAGGTGTCCATTCTCGAACATCGCGCGTTCTCATGCTCATGGTGATTCCAGGCCATATTATCTTCATTTATACGATCAGGTGTATGAAATCTGGGAACACATCCTTAACACCACTGTTCGTGATGGTGTATCTTGTTGCTGCTGTAGTTCAGGTATCATACTGTGTTTTTGAACTTATTGTCGTTTGAAGCATGTTCCATATGCTCAGTGTTGAAGGAGTTGGCTCTGCTCCTATGTTCAGGGAACTGTTTATCATCGTGCTGATAAATTTATTATTTTTTATGTTATTGGTGATGGTTTGGGATTGAACCTGGGACTTTTTAATTACTATGCTAGTGTGGTAACTATGTCGATTAGATGTACCTTAGGCAATCTATAATATCTAACATAATGAGTCCAGAATTTCCATAAACTTTTATAGAGGTCAGTAGAGTAAGGTGTTGTTGAACAATATCCGATTGTATAATTAGGAGCTTCATATGATATTGATAGTGACTATTACATCAGGATGGATGGGATGAGCAGGATGTGTGCTGTGAAGGGGGAAACTGTTCTGGTTGGGGAAACCTCAAGTGAAGTATGAAGACAGGAAAATTTGAGGATTGTATTAAAATGGATAGTAGATGAATAAGTTGTGTTGTCGGATTTCTCTTTCAGGTGGCCACTCTGCTGTACATTGCATACATGATGATACATTGGATGTGGAAACACAAGATTGATCCGGACAACTCTGCGATCCCGTACCTAACGTCCCTTGGAGACTTGCTGGGAATCAGCTTATTGGCCATTGCATTTCATTTTCTGTATTTAGTTGGAGACAGAGATGCAGATGTGGGTGACTAAACTACGTCATTGAGTTGTCTTACCAAATGTATGTAGTGTCAGCCTCAATGAACACGATATTTACTCTTAGAACAATTGTGTTCATACGTAAACCATTAAGGAACGTTAAAAATAATTATAAGGTGGCTTAAGAGCACCTCCATTCAGTTCATTCAATCTCTTTGCAGTTTTGGTTAAGGCAGTTTGTCAGAGTTTTAATACTTATTAAAAAAATTTAAATCTGTCTCTCATTTTAATTCTGCCGGCTTACACTCAGTAGAGAGCGTTTGTGCGACACAGTCTGCAGAACAGTATAGCACGCGAATAGCTCCATAAGACTGCAGATGCAGCGCATGGTGCATAAGTCTTCCAGTTGGACATGTTACTAGTGCATCGGTAAGTACAATGTTGGGAAGCCGTAGGCTTATACAGTAGGTATACGAATTGCCATAGTCTTTCACTGTTAGATTTTACTTTTGGGTGTTTATTTTCTTGTTTTTGAGGTTACATTTGTGAGCAAGGTGCAATGCAAGTGGTAGACCCAACATCATAACTGTGTGTACAAAAACCATCCTGAAATTTTAGTTCAAGAAGAATTGCTATGATTTCTTTCTTTATGTAGTGAACCCTGCTGATACTGAAATAATTTACTGTTAAATGCCAAGTCTATAATTTTTATGTACTTTTTCCTTCTGGGTTTGATATTAATGCAGGAAATGCTATTACATCAGACCGTCAAGTAAGTTCTCTAAAACACCAATCTGCATCTAAACATCTGTCCGTACTCTGATCTCCGATCACATTCAGTTTTAATTCTTAAAATAATCAACATATGCTGTGATGATCTTGTTCTTCTGTGATGTGGTTCTGTCTGGGTTTATATGTAGATACCAGCGTTATCTACCAGAAATCCACACAGCATCCCAACACAGAGGAACATCGTCATTATCTCTACTGCAGTCAGAACCTCAAATATGTGATGTAACACAAGATAGTTGAAAGACGCTCAACTTTTTTTCTAATATTAGTAAAAACTTACATCAGATAGTTAATGTCTGAACTTTGCAGTGACGTATTCCTAGAGTTTCATACCTGCGACTGATCCTTTCATTTCGGACAGTGCAGCTGTTCTTTTGCATTAGAGTTGCCTTATCGACTACATTTCTGCTTCCATCGCACTGCTGAGAAGGCTTCAGAATTTTGTACAATATTATCTAGTGTTATTATTTCATAAATATTTCCTGCACATGATACTACAAACTGTGACGCCTGATAACTTCAGATTACGGCTTTCTCACGTGGGTAGATGTTACCTCCTGTACTGTAATTTAACCCAAGAACAAAATAAGACAATCAGGATTACTAAGCTTTTGGACTTTGTTCATCGTATGGTATTTTAAAAATCACACAAGTTAGGGGGAGAATTTTGAAAAGATATTGTATATGAACTGTGGTTATTTATAAAGAAGGAAGAATTACTGTGTGCAAGCCTGCCTTACCGTCAGTGTTCCCACACTACACTTCGTAACGCTCCTCAGTTCAGGCCAGAAGATGGAAGTAATATGTTCCTCTACATTGTTTGCATATAACCAAAATACTACGTGGGTAACTACCCAGAAGAACATGTTTATTTTATTATGTAGCTTAGATTGTAATTTTAACCTGGAGTACAATTCTTGTGCTTTTTTATTTTGACGAACAGTTCATTTGGATGTCAAGACCCACGCCATTTTGAAAGAATGCCGGACAGAGAGAAACATAAATGACGATACTTGCTCACTTTGAAGTGGATGTTTATTTTATTGGTTAGACATATTTGTATTTGTGTTATTTATTGTAAATTTTCTGAAATGTCACTGAATATTACTTGCTTGTGGCTTCCATTAGACACTCTGATCTTAATGAACTCGGAGTGGATCTAGTCAGAATATTTGGGTCTCTCGTCCGCTGCAGCTAATTACCCTATATTGTTAAAGGCCATTTGTCTTAGTGCCTTGGAATTCGGTGCTCTATGAGTTATGTGACTTGTACAAATGGAAATCATATAGTATGTTGATAAAACAATTCTAAATTTATTCAGGAATAAAGAGATGGCTGAAAATGGAAGGAGAAACTTGCTTGTTTGTAATTTATCACGAATAAACGATCATGTTGTCATCTGCATACAATATTAATTCATGTTTGATATAATTTATACTGGAAGTGAAATCTGCATGGATATTGTGTTTGATAGTGGCAAAATATGTAATAAAATTCACGCAGCTCATGAACTGGTGTGAACTGCACGAGTCTGCGTCATGTGTAAACACAGCAGATCTTCAACTTCCAAATCATGTCAGTATTTCACTACTGTTCCAGGAATAAAATATAATAATGTTAAGATTATTAAGTTGCATTCCACATTACTTTTTCCTCCATAATCAGAAACGTTTTACATGTTTATTCCTAATTATATTATAGTGTCAGTTAATTCCTGTTTCTGTGTACAGTCTGTCAGAACATTATAGTGTTTATTATTAGCCTAGTTATGTAACTTTAATTTATGGAGAAAACATTCTAGTAAATTGTTTTGGAAGTATTATTAGGAATGCAAATTGATAATGGAAAAATTGATTTTATTTTAAATACTTCTCATTTTACTGTGGCAAGTCTTGTGTGTTTTTATTTTTAGTAACTTTGAAAACATGGTACAGGAATGTAATATGGGATGCATTATGTTTAGGTAGTTCTTACATACCAGAAATCTTAATTTTCTATCATGAATAAAGTCTTTCTTCAGAATATCAGATGGATTGAAATTCTGTACTTGTCATGTGTTCACTGAATGATGTTTTCTTCAGTAGTGTCAAATTAATGTATTTGGTTTTAAAGCTTCAAACGTTCAAAAACGTTTGAACTTCAATTACCCCTGAGTTTTTAGTTTCTCTGTACAAAGAACTGGCTTTCAAGGTATGGTTTTTATGTCTTTTGTACCACAAATGCTTTCATTCTTAAAATTTTCGCTTGCCACAATTGGTTGGTACAATGTATGTAGTGGATGTACCAAGTTTCTGTGACATACTTCTTATATGTACAATGCCATAAAGGTTTGGCAAATTCTTGAATGTTCCTAACTTTGTCTTCAGATGTATTTTATATGTAAATGATTATTATTTATAATTATTATTGTTAATTTTTTGGGGTGCCATGGATGTACCACTTAGCTTCTGAATCAGTGTGCCATGATGTGAACAGGTATGTCATGTGTTTGTGTTTGACACGCTAATTTATTTCTTTCGCAAAATATTTGTAGTGTCATGTTTTGTTCGAATATTTTGTGGGGCGCCTATCTTTCAGGGTATAAATAGTCTCTGAATTTTTTCAGATCTGCTAAGTGAGAGATTTCACACATTCCAGTTACCCTGCTTTAGAAATATAATGTGCCATTTAAAACATTGTAAAATGAGTGCCAACTTTATGAGAAACTGATAAATTACCATTTTCTTATATGACAAGGTTTCTTAAAGACGCCTCAACTGTAATATGATGTTTTTGTTAAATATTTTTTGTTTATTCTCTGCTACCATCTATTTAGAAACAGGATGTTCAGACAGTTTTTATATTGAACTGTACAACACTTTTTTTTGTAATTCTTTCATGACTGTAGTTGTACACAAATGTGAATGGTAACGTGTGTATTGTACAAACTGCATTTCATGTACCTTTTGTTTTGAAATGAAATTGATTACCTTATGTTTGATGTATGTAACTTGTTTTTAAAAGAAAACCTGTTACAAACATGTGCCAAATGGAGGTCAGATTGAAATTGTGTTATAAAACTGAAATAAAATTTATGAAGACAGCTAATTCTGGTTTTACACTGTAGGTACCTCCTTCAGTCACTGCAATGAATACTGGATTAATATTCCTAAATAGACCACCACCATTGCTTCCAATTACTGCTCATATCATTTGGTACTGTCTAAGTTAAAACTGTTGTTACTTAAGTTGGTTCAAAATTATGTAAGTTAAAAAAATTTTGTACCACCGATATGGCTGCACCCTCCAGGACATCAATAGAGATACCATGGTTACATCTGAAAACAAAAATATTTTGAAGCAAATTAGGAGAACTACATCCAGGATACAACACTGCATCTCCAGGTGTTACATACAGATGCAATTATGAATATGGAAGTGATGCAGTCATCCGAAACTTGGTAACGACTAATTATGAATATGCAGTCATCCGAAACTTGGTAACGACGTACACCATGCGATCTCAACCCAGCTCACCATCCAGTGTATATATCGGAGAACAGAGTGTATACATTCAAGCTCTATGATCTTAAAAAGTTAAACAAAAGAATATAAAGCGGATGCATTAATCATATTGAAGTATTTATTTATATAAGAACCATTAATAATTGCTTTTATAATCGTATGCATTTTCTCTATGTGAAAAAGCACGTTATCGACTCCTCAAACAGTAAGAAATTAAGAGAATTTATTTATGCCAATGTTGGTCATAGTAATCAAATATGGCCAACGTATGTAGGAATTTAGAGGTCATTAGTGAGCTTATGGGTAACATGTAACTGCTCAAGTTTAGGCAAAAACTATTATAATATTCAATACCACTTAATATAATAACTGGTAGTATTAAACTTGCCTGTTCCTTTATTTGATAGTTTAGAAATTGTAATATTTTTTTTTATTAATATTTGTCATACTAGTTTGGTAAACATGTTGTGACGAAACTGAACGTGCGTCTGATGTGTTTGCTAAACGAAAAGAAATTATTTATACATGACAAGATATTGAAAGAACGTTCGTATTACAGAGTAGTCGATGAAGACATTAAGGATTGTTTTAAAAATAAGTATATGCACTGTGAGTTGAACAAATAGCCATTTTTAAAGTAAAATATCCGGTGCGTACTCTTTCTTTGCTGATTGAAAACCGGGTGGAGTCTATCAATCTACAAGTGCGAACTTCGAAATGGGGTGTGCTGTCAGTACAGCTGTAGAGAAGGAAGCTGCCGAAAGGTCTAAGAAGATAGATAAAGATCTGCGAGCAGATGGAGAAAGAGCTGCAAGAGAAGTTAAACTTTTGTTACTAGGTAATTATCAAGTGAGAATGTTAAATCATGGCCATGACACGTTATCTTTTATGATACAGAGCAACATCTATAGTATCTGCAGAAAAGTAGGTGTATATTACTTAGCACTTTAAAATATAAAACATTTTTTTAGTCATAGAGGAAAGACTACCAAAGTTATGCAATACTTACAGTTCCAGATGCAGTGCTACCTCTGCAGTTGATACAGAATTATAAAAAGTTGCCAGATATCTGTGGGTTATTTCTCATAGAATTTTTTTCTTGGTATTTTAATAAAAACATACGCAATTAAAAAAATAAGAGGCAGAGGATTTCTCCTCTAGCCTTTGCATCCAGACTGGCTCTGGGTCCCATGGGCACTGGGGTCCTTTCCTGGGGGTAAAGTGTGGCTGGGGCGTGATGCTGACCACTCGCCCCCATCTAGTGCTGAGTTCAAGAATGAGTAGGAGTTATATCTTCTCTTTCCTCAAGTCACCTACATGATGTGTGGTGGGAGTGCTTTACTCATACATTGTATAGTGAAATTTTATTGATTTTGTATTAAATGAAAATTTTGAAATGAGTTCATGTTGTGTCAGGTATGAAGTTGCCATGAGGTGGTATACATCTTTCTCTAGTTATATATATTTTAGGGTGACATTTGTTTTAACTTGTAATGAATGACAGTCTCTGCTACTGCACATCCTATACTCATTCACCTTATGTGTTTCAGATTATGGTTATTCAGTTGCGTAATATAATTTTGTAGAATATTGTCATTGAACAGTAGTTTTTACATTCAGATACACTTGTTGTGTCATGCCATATTAAAAATATTGGGTGACAGTGGGGTATATACACTGTCCTGTGTACTGGCTTTGGGAGGGACTGCATCTCTGTCTTATTCAGTCAGTTCTGAAATATAATTTGTCACAAACCAGTTTTCATGTTGTATTATCAGCAGCTGATCATAGGGTGGGGATCATTTTCATCTGAACATGAATTTGCTTACTCATTGTACTCTTATCAATAAAGTAAAAAAATTGTGTTTTATGTTGTATTTCAACATAAATACAGGTTGAATTCTCCAACACATGATTGAAAAGTTCTATTAATCTGTTATAAAATGCAAATGATGCTAGAGGACTAGGTTAAAAATTGTAGTATTTGAGGTTATCATGGCAGCAGTTATGATGATGGCTGTCTTCTGGGTTGTAACACCGTGTAGTCTGGTAGAAGTTTACTGACTTTTCAGAGGGTTAGGAATAAAAATAAATAGCCATGTTGCTGAATACAGAGAACTTGGCACATTATCAAACAAGTGTTTGATAATTGCTTTCCTTTATTCTAACAGGAGCTGGAGAATCTGGAAAGAGTACAATAGTGAAGCAGATGAAAATCATTCATGAGACTGGTTACTCCAAAGAAGAATGTGAGCAGTACCGGCCAGTGGTCTACAGTAACACTATTCAGAGTCTCATGGCCATCATCAGGGCAATGGGGCAGTTGAGGATTGATTTTGCTGAACCCGGCAGAGCAGTAAGTTATCTTGCTGCCAGGACCTTTTTGAAATCCTTATTTAGATTGAGAGGTGGAGGGGGGAACCTGGTGGCCTTGGGATGAGACACAAGACACTCATTCAGAGGGTCCTGGGTTTGATCTGCAGTTTTGTGTGTGTATATTTTTCTGCTCATAAATTGAAGCCTTTAAATTTGAGAATGTGTATAAGAATACCAGCCTCTGCATGTGAAGCTGTGGGTTTCAATTCACAACCATCATTCTCATCATCACTCAGTCATTGGGAGAAGTGGAATCCGCCCTATAGGTGATCTCACCTCATTGTCATCACCGTTATCTTCACCATCTTCAGGAATTATACTTATTAGTCTGTTCTGATGCCAACAACAGTCTCCTGGAACTGGTCTCTCCTGCTTTTGCTTTCAACTCCGATTACACGTACGTCCATAAATTGTAGTTTCTTAGTAAATTATTCTAAACATTTGTTGTCTTCAAATGTATTGTACATAGAAAACAAATCCCGTGTCGTGTGGTACTTTGGGGAAATGTGACATGCTCCAGAAGTGTATTTTGGTTTATTTAATGGGTAGAAGAAATAGAATCTGTTATTTACGGATGGTGCACATAATGTTGGAATATGCCTGTGTAGATTGTACTGAACATTTAAACGTTGTAAAACTCCCATTTATAACATTTTTCTGGTTATAGTTTTGTTTTTCATGGTCTCATGTGGTATTTATTTAACAAAGTACAATAAAGTAATGTCTACTATTGTTTAGCTGTGTCAAGTGGATGTCAAGGTCAGATCTTGAAACGCTGTTTGCTCGTAGCTGGAGCAGAAAACATTGTCTGCTGCATGCAGAGTGGTTTCATGGATACTCAACTTTCCGCATTTTAAATGAGAACATAGCTTAATTTTAATTTGTTCATTCTTGGATTTGTGCTAGGACCATGCCCGCCAATTCTTCACATTAGCGAGTGCAGCGGAGGAAGGAGAGCTAACTCCTGAGTTGGTGATGTTAATGAAAAGGCTGTGGCAAGATGCTGGAGTGCAGCTGTGTTTTGCTCGTTCCAGAGAGTATCAGTTGAATGATTCAGCTGCATATTACCTGAATGCACTGGACAGAATCTCCCTACCTAGCTATGTTCCCACACAACAGGATGTTCTCAGAACAAGAGTGAAGACCACAGGCATAGTTGAGACCCACTTCAGCTTTAAGGGGTTACACTTCAAGTAAGTGTCTTGAATGTGCATTTACCATGTTGCTTCGGTACTTTTCTTTTCCATTCTTGCCCACTTTTCTAAAAGCTGTGCATCTGTGCGACATGCTTTTGTGGATGATTATGTGCGTGTGGGCCTCTTCAGTTTTATTGGCATGTTTTTGAGTACTGGGTATTGCACAGCTGTTTGTCTGCCGCGAAAGAGTTGGATTACTTATGAACGTTAATTTTAGTGCAGAGAGCATCAGAATCATTCATATATGACTTGGAAATTCTAACTGGGGAAGAAGGTCTCTATTTGACTTCAATTGGTCCATTAAATGTCTTTGTAACAGGATGTTTGATGTTGGAGGTCAGAGGTCAGAAAGGAAGAAATGGATTCACTGTTTTGAAGGTGTGACAGCAATCATATTCTGTGTGGCACTGTCAGGTGAGTTTTCGTTTTGCGCACTGTTGTGCCGTATTTATGAGGTGCCTGTAACGTGGGCTGAGGGAAACTACCGCAGCCACAAGCCAGTGAAATGTATACATCAGCTTCACGTAACTGGCAGTGGCAATTATTTGTGAGTAACTTTATCAAATCGCTGTTATTGATATATCACGTAGCTCTATTGCGCAGTATAATCTGAGTATAGACAACCAATTTTCGCATCCAATCAAAAGTTATCGCGCTACTTAACAATGTTTCTCCGCAGGTTACGACTTAGTTTTAGCTGAAGACGAGGAAATGAATCGGATGATTGAATCTATGAAGCTGTTTGATTCTATCTGTAACAGCAAGTGGTTTGTTGAAACATCAATAATCCTGTTTCTGAATAAAAAGGATCTTTTTGAGGAGAAAATAGCAAAGAGTCCTTTGACTATTTGCTTTCCGGAATATACAGGTAAAGCAGACCTAAGACTCGTGCCGAGAATTATACGAGTGTTTAAAACTTTTTTTACTCTTGAAAGTAAGGCTACAGTAAATTTTAATGAAAGCAAAATGTGTTTCTTAAGGTTCAAATACGTATGAAGAAGCTGCAGCGTACATCCAGTTGAAGTTTGAGAATCTCAACAAACGGAAAGATCAGAAAGAGATCTACACTCACTTCACGTGTGCTACGGACACCAACAACATCCAGTTTGTCTTTGATGCTGTCACAGATGTCATCATCAAGAACAACCTCAAGGACTGCGGTCTGTTCTGATGAAGTATGTGTGCATGTCGCTGATTCTGATGAGTATATCGCAAAAAAAACATTTCCTGGCAATGAGGTTTCGTCTCACTTTTTTGGAAGCGCTGTGCCTGCTCTATCTTTATGGTGTATTTACAACTTCGCTGCGATGCGAAATCTGATGTGGCTGAAAACATCGTTGCTTTCAAATATCAAGCTTTACTGGTGCGACCTGTCTGTATTGTGCAGAACTTGGGGTCAGTGCCTTGACGAGGAAAGAGGAGTCATACCCCAAATTTGAGGGAGTGTTGGCAAGGCACGTCCTTCCTTCCTTTGCAGAATAGCATTTTAGGCGGCGTCTTCTTTTTATTATTATTATTTTTTAAAATTTTAATTTTATTTATTTATTTTATTACTCTTTGTGTATTGTGATGGCATTCCAGTGAAAAATGTCTTGCTATGGTCTAATCTTGAATTGTGATGATATTCATTGTTTTGTTTGCATCTGTGACGCTTTATATTGATGGAGTATTAAATATTTAATTTGCAACAGCTCCGTAAGTGGATATGACGGTCTTTTTGCCTTCTAAATTCTTGGAATGTAATTAAGATGTGATGAGACATCAGTTTGCTTGTAGACTGAATGCACATGTTTTCATAGTAAAGTTGCTTGTAAGTTGTCAGTAGTGTTGACCCTCTGTACTCATCAGAGTCACTGCGCAGCGACAGAAGGGAGCAAACACGACAGAATGGCACTCATCGTAATACCTACCGCACACATTTGGGAATAATATATATTTTGTACAACTATGTTTTCTATTATGAATAATTTATACTAATGCTTGTAGAGAACCATCCTGAATTGCCTATACCATTTGGTAAGTTTAATGTATATTGTTTTATATTAGCAGAAAATATTATATTACTTAGGTTAACATATTTTGACCTATCGGACCAAGAATTCACAAGACATATCCATGACAGTGGAGACTATAAATAGTTTTAACTTCTTTTCCATCTCACGGTTAACTGTTTCTTTATATGAGACCTTTACATTTTTTGCAAAGAAATTTGACTAAATTAATTTTTATAAAACATAAATTGTGCATTCTACTTTTGAGATCTGTGACAAAAATTCACTTTATATGTAAAGTGAACGTATTTTCTTCTGCAGAATGCTTAAAAGATGAATAAGGGTAATTCTCGTACTCACTTAAAATTTACTTAATATTTCAGTTACAGTGAAATCCTTATTTCATGTTTTGTAGGGAAGAACAGATGTGAAACTCCAGTGCTGAAATGGTTGTACTGCAAGAACTGAATAAGGTTAGTCCTGCGCATGTTGAGAGAATTAAATGTTCGCTTCTAAACTAAAAGAGTCTCTTTAACTTTGACTCACGTGAAGAACAGTTGAAGCTGTTGGTTAAGGTGATATGGTAGGAAACATGAAAGTGTTGTACTAGTGCGACTGAAATTTTGCCTTGAGAGCAGTGAGATATTAGTTGGTTAAGGTGATATGGTAGGAAACGCATTTGTGTGTTGTTTAAGTCTGATCCAGTTAAGTTTCAGTATAACATGAAAGTGTTGTACTAGTGAGACTGGAATTTTGCCTTGAGAGCAGTGAGATATTGTTCATGATAACACAGACAATGTGATATTTTTGTAACCATGAACCTCTTAAATTAAGTGTGTTACATTATGGATTGGCGCGCACAACCATTTCCTGCACCAATTCTGTAACCTTAGATGTCATTTTACAGTGCGGAGAAATAATGAACGTTACTTCAGCAAATCATAGATAACTTCTAAACTATGTAATGTAGTTTAATGAGAATTTCAGCACCTGACTGAAATGCCTCGGAACGTGCATGGTCACAATTCTGTCTTTTGTATTATTCATTCAGTTCTCTGCTTACCTTTTTTATGCTGCTGGAAGGAGCGTTCTTTGTATAGAGTGAAGTCACAGCTCTTGCATTTGGAAGATTTGTGAACGTAATAATTGCTTTTATAAATCTGTTAATATTATCCTTTTTTTTACAACTTCAAAGTTTAATGGAAATGTAGGCTATTATAAGAATGGGTAAAACAGGAGAAAATTTGTCTGACATCTTGACATGTCAAACTTGTAGTGTTGCATTGTTTTGTAGTAGGACTGGCGCAGTTTCTGCTACTGGGCTTGTATTTGTTCCATCTTGCTTTGCATCACAAAGTCTCATTTATTGGAGTTTGCAGTGCTGCCACTGCAAGTATTACATATAGAAAGGTGCCAAACGAAAGACCATTTTACTCTTCAAAATAAATTTTCAGTAGTGAATTTTTTTTTGAGCTTGAAACATGAACATTGACGGACACTGCATCACTCTTTTTGTGATGGTAAACAGATCTTGAGATTTCGCATGTAGCAGGACCAACAAGCCCTCATTGTAAAGGTCTGTCATACTGCAAACTGTTATACAAGGCCATGGGCGTGGACAGATCCATGGAGTTATCATAAAAAGCGGTGGAAAAATAATAAAAAATGAATATTGGGATTTTTACAGAAATTAACACAGCATCTGAACTGAAATTCATGAGAACAGTGGAGTATACTTGGATGGACTGTAAACGAAACTAAGAATAGAATGTATGTAAAAATTATATGCATTTGGAACAAAATTTTGAAATATAAAACTAGTTGGATTCAAGAAGTTCACAGAATGGAAACTTTAAAAAAACTCAAACCACATGGATTAAGAAATTGAGGGCAGCCTTTAAAGAGACTTTTGGACAAATGAGCCTGAAATGTTCCAAGAAGTGGCCTAACACTTTGACTGCTAGATGGTGGTGGTGGTGGTAACGATAACTGAATATGACAAGGCAAAGAAAGTGGGACCTACTCCAAATTTGATGTAATATGTGTCTTAATGCCCAGGTAACACCAATCACAGTTTTAATATAGCCTGCCTGAATTAATTATTAATAATTCATTTCTTACGTATTTTGTATGTCTGTAATGCGAGTAACTAATCGGTACTTAATTTTGGAACTTTAGAATATATATTATGAGTCTCTGTGACATATGGTCACTTTGAAATAGATTCATCCAGTTCCCAAATAAAAAAAAGTATTATCCTCTGATGTGTGGGGAACTTGTGGTCTCTGGGTAAGACAATGGACTCTTATTCAGAGGGTCCTGGCATCAACACCTGGTCATATCTGTGTGCAGATTCGTCTACTCACACTTCTGTTAGTGATAAAACAGGGATGTGAAATATATCTGGCCCCCACAACAATTCAGAGCCCATATTAGACTATAGCCCCTCTGACAGTGATCGTCCTCATGAACACCGTCATTAGGAGTAATGGGATCTGCCCTACAGGTATTTCCACCTCAGAAATGGATTCTAGATGTATCTGAGGTTGACAGAGGCCAGAAAATGTATAACAGACCATCCCCCGAGGCATTACAAACCTACCCATCTTCTGATCTTAGTCAAGTTGGCAGTAAAATGGTGAAAGAACGGTGTGCTATTGTCAGAAGAAATCATGTGAACTTACGCTGCTCTTTGTCACTACTCTGTTTCTAGAAAGATGACTGAATGTATTAACATTTATGTTTTTTTAAGTAGGCCCAGTGTTAGAAATAAAGTGTTTCTGCTTTTAGAATGTATACAGTTGGCAGCGTGGTCCATAATTTTGATAACACAACTGCCTGTATTATATTTTTTTAAGCATGTTTATGTTTTCAAAATTATGCTGTCTTTACAGTGCTGTAATATGGAATCATGTTACTTACTCCTGCCACATATATATATTTTTTTTTTCAAGTGGGGGGAAATCGTGCTAAAATAAACATGAGAATACTGAATATATTTCTTTGGATATTTGGATGAACTATGTAGAGGTACGACTGGAAATTGTTTCCATCACTTGAAAAAGAGTAAATTCTTCTGAGACCTTGTTCATGTATGTCAAATACATACTCCATACAAGTGTAGCACAGAAACTTCATTGCTCCCTTTTAAATTATTCACTGCATACAAAGTATGTTTACTTTCACTGCTGCTGTATAAGTGAAAGGTGAACTTATCCATAGCAGTCATCTGTGTATACATTTAGCATTATAATCTGGAAACATTCCAGAGATTTTTTTAAAATGAATAGCTATTTTATTGGAATACTTTAAACTTTGTATTAAATATAGGTTAAGGAGCATTCATAAATTGCCCAGTGTGTATTATTTGTGATGCCATGATGCGCATGTGCTGACATTAACTAATCAGAAACCTCTTGGCTCGAATCCATGTATTCTTCTCACTGCTGGCATTAGATTGGCACATTTTTGCATTTAACAGTGAATCTCTTGGATATTACATGACATTCCAGGCAAGATGTGCATTGAAAATTACTTGTCTGTCCTTATTACATTGGGTTTAATTTCTGAGGAGACATTCTCACATGTTTTCAGACATTTAACATTCTCATATGCAGGTTCTTTTGAATAACTGTGAGTTACGTGTCTTAAAATGTGGATTGTTAAAGGGAATTTCATATTTGTTACATTGATTCATGTTTGCTGCACAATGTATTGGGATAGGAAATTTAAATTTGGTTTACTAGAACTTGGGTGTCAATATATTCCCGTTGATTCCTGTCATAACAAAGGTCATTCTGAACTATTTTTGATATATCTGTTTTTCATGTTTTGTATAACTGAACTGCTTCCATCCAAATTGGTCCAAATGATGGTCTTCCATTTTTTAGTGCAGGAGGCCATAACAAGCAACGTGTTAGGTCGCCTTATTTTTCACATTCTGAATTTCTGTTTCCTTTACGTTATCTTTTGTTGTACTTGCACAAGAATAACATGTTTTGTCAATCTGTCTGTTCCCTAATATTAAACGTAGCTTGTAATATAACCATGTAAAATATTTGTGTAGAAGAAGTTGACAACATGTCATGTTTTAATCACAAACTGACTATTTTCAGCTTCGTGCAGGTGTTAACGTGTTTAACGAAGGCCAATGTTTCCTGGGATGAACATTATTTTCTATTAAAAGATTTTAATTTGTGAGAATTTGCACAAATAAAATTGCTCAATTAATGAAGAAATTTGTGTTACAACTGCATTTAAAGTTATGCTGGAGGAAACTGGAGCACAGAAGGCTAAGTTAATAAGGATCTTGAACATGAGATGCTCTGATGCTTCTTTCTATAAGGATGCTTACTTCTGATTAAGAACAGGCAGTAAGTCAAATCTGATGAAGTTAAGATCTTTAATAACCATCTTTAACTCAAGTTATGTTCCTTTACATTTGGCAATCAGTAACTTCCTTCGTTGTCCAGCAATTGATCCATTACGTGTGCAGGTCAGCGAGTCGCTGTATTTCCAGACAGATGTATCCGAATGTTGTCAACTTTTTTAATTTGAGGTCTTGCAATCTTAATACAGTTTGGCCGTAGGCATTTATAGGCATAAAAGTGAAAGAAACTGGAGTTTTAATATGCCCAGGAAATTCTGACTGACACATATGCACATGGTGTGCTTTTGATAAGTATATGCTTGCGACAGTTTTATGTCTCATGATGCAAACATTCAGGGCATATTTGCTTGAAACGTGTTGCTCTGACATTGTAGTGCCATATCTTCCATCTTGAGCTTTAAGTTATATTTCCAAGGAGCTGCCACTTTGTGAAGTTGGTTGCTCTCTTATCTACAGTGTAATTCTATCTTGTCTAATGAGCTTATGAAAGCTTTTGCTACTATTATACAGTGCGTTCAGATCGTACATGTCGCAATATGTGGTTACATCTTGAGCAGCCTACAGTATAAAATTATCTGTGTTATATAAGATTAGTTAATTTTTGTGAATACAATTTTAAGTAAACATGTGGTTTCCATATTTATTGCATTCTCAAGTCCTTACACCTTGTCCATTTCATCACTAGGCAGATCATACAGAAAGGAGACCAGTTACGTGAAATCTGTTTAATAAAACTGGAAACTGTGACTTGTATGAAATGATTGTTGTGCAGCTGTTTCAGGTGAATGACCTTGAGTTTGAAACCGAGGCATTCTTATAACACTTATCCAGTTTTATGATACAGATTTCATGGAATTGGTTTAGGCTCCAAATGGATGAGAGTGGCAGTTCATTTCTTGTCTCGTTTTTGGGTGATGGCACCATGCGGACGTCCTGTCTCCATCTCTGATGTCAAGTAACAACTAACTGGTACTGGGCACATTGCGGCACATGTAACCATGGTATCTAGCCTCATGACTCCGACCAGATTGTGATGAATTCTCAGATGACCTACATTTAGTGAAGAAAGTAATGTTAGCAGTGTCAGTGGTTTGTGTTAAGTACCCAGAATCCTGTGGTGAATTATAACCTCACATTGTTTAACCCTTCAAAGTTGAAGCATGCCCTAATAATATTTGCTTCCTACCCAAAATGAAACATTGCAGTTTGTTCTGAGAATAATATGAAACTCATGAATATTCTCTGTAGGCAAAATGCTGAGTTATTAATTATTGTAAACGGTTATGACTAGTAAGTGTTTAGTATGCTCCTGTGAGGCAGTGACAAATTGAGCCAAATAAGTTTTTATTAGTGTAGCCATTTGGATGGGCTACGTATTTCCAGCAGTTACAGGAAAGAAAATAAATTTGAAATTGGAGAAAAAATTATCGAGTGAAAACTGAATGACTATAAATCGATTTCGGATTAATCGAAATATATCACAATAGTACATCGATCGTTGAATCGAGCGGTCTGTGTGAACAGTTCATTGTAACAGAAAGGTTGCTTTCCAGCTTCTGAGACAAGAAGGAAACGCTACATTCCTGGTGATATTAGGAACTCAAGTGCTCAACAAAGAAAAATAACATTTTTATTTTTTCGGTAAGTGTATATTGTGATTTCATAAGTGATGTAAATATTGTAATTTGCCAAATTTGGTGACAGTATTATAAAACGCCATGTATGCAATTCTGCCAATATGCCAAAGTTCAAAAATGAGGGTATAGAAGGAAGCAAGTATGGTATTTTCTATGGTATCCTTCCGCCAAACTTCAAAATAGCCGAACCTCCCAAATTATCTTAAGATCTCAATCGATTTCAGATAATCTCCGCACAGGACATACTGTAATTCAGAAACAGAAATAACAAACGATAAAAGTATGAGTCGATTTGTGAATGAGTTCTGTGATTGGAGTGGCGCGCTTGTTGCTAGAGGTCAGTAGCTCCTGGCACCAGCCAACGTGCAGCAGCTCGTACGTCGTCAAAGTAAGTAAGAGTGGTTAATAAGAGATTAGAAAAGTGCTGTTCAGTCGGTATCGAAATACACGTTTTAATTTACTTCTTCCGGAGGATTTTCTTAAACAGTGTTTGGAGAGCCTGAGTGGAAGAGACCGCTGGGGAAACCTAGACGTAGATGGGAGGATAATATCAGGCGGGATCTATGGGAGATAGGAGTTGAAGGAGACTGGATTTTGTTGGCCCAGGACAGGGTCCGGTGGAGGGCTTTGGTTAATACGGTGATGAACCTTCGGCTTCGGTAAGCCATCTAGTTAGTTAGTGTCTTACACACAATAGCCATATTTATTTAGAGGTGACATTATCTTAAATTAATATCGATATCGTCTGTTTCGACCGTTCGAGGTTGAACCTTTTCGACTGTGTTCTGTCTGTTTCTACGATCTAGTTCCAACGGGAATCAATTTTAAAATTCGGCTCCGTCCCACGTTCCGAGACAACACGCTAGCTTCCTTTTAAAACAAATCAAACAGACTTATTTCTTATTTCAAATTATATGGTATCAGTCTATTCACTGTCGTTAACTGGCTGATAATCTACATTTGATATAATAGTTGTTTGAAAAAACAGTGGAATGTTTTTGAATGCAGTGGTTGATTTCTGGAAGAAATTGTGGTCTCAGCTTGAAGTACTACGTCGTGAGTCAGAAAATATTGTGCACGGACACGTAAAGGTCGGTTTTATCCAGTTTTGGTGTGGGTGCGACAGTTAATGCCGCGTTTGGAACGTAACACTTTTATGTGGGAACATGAGAAATTTTAATAACTGTTCATATTGTGTCGATATATCCTGTCTGGAAAGCTCTTACACACGTATCGCGGGTTTACACACGCACATCAAATTGTTTTGTTTCCGTTTCCTGGCCAACGGCGTGAGGTTTATTAAACACGACAACTGAATTCGCAAGAGAATGAATTGTTGTGCGGTGATTCTCACTACAGCCACAAGATAGTACAGTGTTATACGCCTTAACCATTAATTAAACATATTTGTTTAAATCTTGTCAGTCACAATCACAATAAAATTCCTATTAAATATATAAAATATTTAAAATTTAAAAATTAGGATGTTTGATGTTGGAGGTCAGAGGTCAGAAAGGAAGAAATGGATTCACTGTTTTGAAGGTGTGACAGCAATCATATTCTGTGTGGCACTGTCAGGTGAGTTTTCGTTTTGCGCACTGTTGTGCCGTATTTATGAGGTGCCTGTAACGTGGGCTGAGGGAAACTACCGCAGCCACAAGCCAGTGAAATGTATACATCAGCTTCACGTAACTGGCAGTGGCAATTATTTGTGAGTAACTTTATCAAATCGCTGTTATTGATATATCACGTAGCTCTATTGCGCAGTATAATCTGAGTATAGACAACCAATTTTCGCATCCAATCAAAAGTTATCGCGCTACTTAACAATGTTTCTCCGCAGGTTACGACTTAGTTTTAGCTGAAGACGAGGAAATGAATCGGATGATTGAATCTATGAAGCTGTTTGATTCTATCTGTAACAGCAAGTGGTTTGTTGAAACATCAATAATCCTGTTTCTGAATAAAAAGGATCTTTTTGAGGAGAAAATAGCAAAGAGTCCTTTGACTATTTGCTTTCCGGAATATACAGGTAAAGCAGACCTAAGACTCGTGCCGAGAATTATACGAGTGTTTAAAACTTTTTTTACTCTTGAAAGTAAGGCTACAGTAAATTTTAATGAAAGCAAAATGTGTTTCTTAAGGTTCAAATACGTATGAAGAAGCTGCAGCGTACATCCAGTTGAAGTTTGAGAATCTCAACAAACGGAAAGATCAGAAAGAGATCTACACTCACTTCACGTGTGCTACGGACACCAACAACATCCAGTTTGTCTTTGATGCTGTCACAGATGTCATCATCAAGAACAACCTCAAGGACTGCGGTCTGTTCTGATGAAGTATGTGTGCATGTCGCTGATTCTGATGAGTATATCGCAAAAAAAACATTTCCTGGCAATGAGGTTTCGTCTCACTTTTTTGGAAGCGCTGTGCCTGCTCTATCTTTATGGTGTATTTACAACTTCGCTGCGATGCGAAATCTGATGTGGCTGAAAACATCGTTGCTTTCAAATATCAAGCTTTACTGGTGCGACCTGTCTGTATTGTGCAGAACTTGGGGTCAGTGCCTTGACGAGGAAAGAGGAGTCATACCCCAAATTTGAGGGAGTGTTGGCAAGGCACGTCCTTCCTTCCTTTGCAGAATAGCATTTTAGGCGGCGTCTTCTTTTTATTATTATTATTTTTTAAAATTTTAATTTTATTTATTTATTTTATTACTCTTTGTGTATTGTGATGGCATTCCAGTGAAAAATGTCTTGCTATGGTCTAATCTTGAATTGTGATGATATTCATTGTTTTGTTTGCATCTGTGACGCTTTATATTGATGGAGTATTAAATATTTAATTTGCAACAGCTCCGTAAGTGGATATGACGGTCTTTTTGCCTTCTAAATTCTTGGAATGTAATTAAGATGTGATGAGACATCAGTTTGCTTGTAGACTGAATGCACATGTTTTCATAGTAAAGTTGCTTGTAAGTTGTCAGTAGTGTTGACCCTCTGTACTCATCAGAGTCACTGCGCAGCGACAGAAGGGAGCAAACACGACAGAATGGCACTCATCGTAATACCTACCGCACACATTTGGGAATAATATATATTTTGTACAACTATGTTTTCTATTATGAATAATTTATACTAATGCTTGTAGAGAACCATCCTGAATTGCCTATACCATTTGGTAAGTTTAATGTATATTGTTTTATATTAGCAGAAAATATTATATTACTTAGGTTAACATATTTTGACCTATCGGACCAAGAATTCACAAGACATATCCATGACAGTGGAGACTATAAATAGTTTTAACTTCTTTTCCATCTCACGGTTAACTGTTTCTTTATATGAGACCTTTACATTTTTTGCAAAGAAATTTGACTAAATTAATTTTTATAAAACATAAATTGTGCATTCTACTTTTGAGATCTGTGACAAAAATTCACTTTATATGTAAAGTGAACGTATTTTCTTCTGCAGAATGCTTAAAAGATGAATAAGGGTAATTCTCGTACTCACTTAAAATTTACTTAATATTTCAGTTACAGTGAAATCCTTATTTCATGTTTTGTAGGGAAGAACAGATGTGAAACTCCAGTGCTGAAATGGTTGTACTGCAAGAACTGAATAAGGTTAGTCCTGCGCATGTTGAGAGAATTAAATGTTCGCTTCTAAACTAAAAGAGTCTCTTTAACTTTGACTCACGTGAAGAACAGTTGAAGCTGTTGGTTAAGGTGATATGGTAGGAAACATGAAAGTGTTGTACTAGTGCGACTGAAATTTTGCCTTGAGAGCAGTGAGATATTGTTCATGATAACACAGACAATGTGATATTTTTGTAACCATGAACCTCTTAAATTAAGTGTGTTACATTATGGATTGGCGCGCACAACCATTTCCTGCACCAATTCTGTAACCTTAGATGTCATTTTACAGTGCGGAGAAATAATGAACGTTACTTCAGCAAATCATAGATAACTTCTAAACTATGTAATGTAGTTTAATGAGAATTTCAGCACCTGACTGAAATGCCTCGGAACGTGCATGGTCACAATTCTGTCTTTTGTATTATTCATTCAGTTCTCTGCTTACCTTTTTTATGCTGCTGGAAGGAGCGTTCTTTGTATAGAGTGAAGTCACAGCTCTTGCATTTGGAAGATTTGTGAACGTAATAATTGCTTTTATAAATCTGTTAATATTATTCTTTTTTTTTTTTTTTTTTACAACTTCAAAGTTTAATGGAAATGTAGGCTATTATAAGAATGGGTAAAACAGGAGAAAATTTGTCTGACATCTTGACATGTCAAACTTGTAGTGTTGCATTGTTTTGTAGTAGGACTGGCGCAGTTTCTGCTACTGGGCTTGTATTTGTTCCATCTTGCTTTGCATCACAAAGTCTCATTTATTGGAGTTTGCAGTGCTGCCACTGCAAGTATTACATATAGAAAGGTGCCAAACGAAAGACCATTTTACTCTTCAAAATAAATTTTCAGTAGTGAATTTTTTTTTGAGCTTGAAACATGAACATTGACGGACACTGCATCACTCTTTTTGTGATGGTAAACAGATCTTGAGATTTCGCATGTAGCAGGACCAACAAGCCCTCATTGTAAAGGTCTGTCATACTGCAAACTGTTATACAAGGCCATGGGCGTGGACAGATCCATGGAGTTATCATAAAAAGCGGTGGAAAAATAATAAAAAATGAATATTGGGATTTTTACAGAAATTAACACAGCATCTGAACTGAAATTCATGAGAACAGTGGAGTATACTTGGATGGACTGTAAACGAAACTAAGAATAGAATGTATGTAAAAATTATATGCATTTGGAACAAAATTTTGAAATATAAAACTAGTTGGATTCAAGAAGTTCACAGAATGGAAACTTTAAAAAAACTCAAACCACATGGATTAAGAAATTGAGGGCAGCCTTTAAAGAGACTTTTGGACAAATGAGCCTGAAATGTTCCAAGAAGTGGCCTAACACTTTGACTGCTAGATGGTGGTGGTGGTGGTAACGATAACTGAATATGACAAGGCAAAGAAAGTGGGACCTACTCCAAATTTGATGTAATATGTGTCTTAATGCCCAGGTAACACCAATCACAGTTTTAATATAGCCTGCCTGAATTAATTATTAATAATTCATTTCTTACGTATTTTGTATGTCTGTAATGCGAGTAACTAATCGGTACTTAATTTTGGAACTTTAGAATATATATTATGAGTCTCTGTGACATATGGTCACTTTGAAATAGATTCATCCAGTTCCCAAATAAAAAAAAGTATTATCCTCTGATGTGTGGGGAACTTGTGGTCTCTGGGTAAGACAATGGACTCTTATTCAGAGGGTCCTGGCATCAACACCTGGTCATATCTGTGTGCAGATTCGTCTACTCACACTTCTGTTAGTGATAAAACAGGGATGTGAAATATATCTGGCCCCCACAACAATTCAGAGCCCATATTAGACTATAGCCCCTCTGACAGTGATCGTCCTCATGAACACCGTCATTAGGAGTAATGGGATCTGCCCTACAGGTATTTCCACCTCAGAAATGGATTCTAGATGTATCTGAGGTTGACAGAGGCCAGAAAATGTATAACAGACCATCCCCCGAGGCATTACAAACCTACCCATCTTCTGATCTTAGTCAAGTTGGCAGTAAAATGGTGAAAGAACGGTGTGCTATTGTCAGAAGAAATCATGTGAACTTACGCTGCTCTTTGTCACTACTCTGTTTCTAGAAAGATGACTGAATGTATTAACATTTATGTTTTTTTAAGTAGGCCCAGTGTTAGAAATAAAGTGTTTCTGCTTTTAGAATGTATACAGTTGGCAGCGTGGTCCATAATTTTGATAACACAACTGCCTGTATTATATTTTTTTAAGCATGTTTATGTTTTCAAAATTATGCTGTCTTTACAGTGCTGTAATATGGAATCATGTTACTTACTCCTGCCACATATATATATTTTTTTTTTCAAGTGGGGGGAAATCGTGCTAAAATAAACATGAGAATACTGAATATATTTCTTTGGATATTTGGATGAACTATGTAGAGGTACGACTGGAAATTGTTTCCATCACTTGAAAAAGAGTAAATTCTTCTGAGACCTTGTTCATGTATGTCAAATACATACTCCATACAAGTGTAGCACAGAAACTTCATTGCTCCCTTTTAAATTATTCACTGCATACAAAGTATGTTTACTTTCACTGCTGCTGTATAAGTGAAAGGTGAACTTATCCATAGCAGTCATCTGTGTATACATTTAGCATTATAATCTGGAAACATTCCAGAGATTTTTTTAAAATGAATAGCTATTTTATTGGAATACTTTAAACTTTGTATTAAATATAGGTTAAGGAGCATTCATAAATTGCCCAGTGTGTATTATTTGTGATGCCATGATGCGCATGTGCTGACATTAACTAATCAGAAACCTCTTGGCTCGAATCCATGTATTCTTCTCACTGCTGGCATTAGATTGGCACATTTTTGCATTTAACAGTGAATCTCTTGGATATTACATGACATTCCAGGCAAGATGTGCATTGAAAATTACTTGTCTGTCCTTATTACATTGGGTTTAATTTCTGAGGAGACATTCTCACATGTTTTCAGACATTTAACATTCTCATATGCAGGTTCTTTTGAATAACTGTGAGTTACGTGTCTTAAAATGTGGATTGTTAAAGGGAATTTCATATTTGTTACATTGATTCATGTTTGCTGCACAATGTATTGGGATAGGAAATTTAAATTTGGTTTACTAGAACTTGGGTGTCAATATATTCCCGTTGATTCCTGTCATAACAAAGGTCATTCTGAACTATTTTTGATATATCTGTTTTTCATGTTTTGTATAACTGAACTGCTTCCATCCAAATTGGTCCAAATGATGGTCTTCCATTTTTTAGTGCAGGAGGCCATAACAAGCAACGTGTTAGGTCGCCTTATTTTTCACATTCTGAATTTCTGTTTCCTTTACGTTATCTTTTGTTGTACTTGCACAAGAATAACATGTTTTGTCAATCTGTCTGTTCCCTAATATTAAACGTAGCTTGTAATATAACCATGTAAAATATTTGTGTAGAAGAAGTTGACAACATGTCATGTTTTAATCACAAACTGACTATTTTCAGCTTCGTGCAGGTGTTAACGTGTTTAACGAAGGCCAATGTTTCCTGGGATGAACATTATTTTCTATTAAAAGATTTTAATTTGTGAGAATTTGCACAAATAAAATTGCTCAATTAATGAAGAAATTTGTGTTACAACTGCATTTAAAGTTATGCTGGAGGAAACTGGAGCACAGAAGGCTAAGTTAATAAGGATCTTGAACATGAGATGCTTCTTTCTATAAGGATGCTTACTTCTGATTAAGAACAGGCAGTAAGTCATATCTGATGAAGTTAAGATCTTTAATAACCATCTTTAACTCAAGTTATGTTCCTTTACATTTGGCAATCAGTAACTTCCTTCGTTGTCCAGCAATTGATCCATTACGTGTGCAGGTCAGCGAGTCGCTGTATTTCCAGACAGATGTATCCGAATGTTGTCAACTTTTTTAATTTGAGGTCTTGCAATCTTAATACAGTTTGGCCGTAGGCATTTATAGGCATAAAAGTGAAAGAAACTGGAGTTTTAATATGCCCAGGAAATTCTGACTGACACATATGCACATGGTGTGCTTTTGATAAGTATATGCTTGTGACAGTTTTATGTCTCATGATGCAAACATTCAGGGCATATTTGCTTGAAACGTGTTGCTCTGACATTGTAGTGCCATATCTTCCATCTTGAGCTTTAAGTTATATTTCCAAGGAGCTGCCACTTTGTGAAGTTGGTTGCTCTCTTATCTACAGTGTAATTCTATCTTGTCTAATGAGCTTATGAAAGCTTTTGCTACTATTATACAGTGCGTTCAGATCGTACATGTCGCAATATGTGGTTACATCTTGAGCAGCCTACAGTATAAAATTATCTGTGTTATATAAGATTAGTTAATTTTTGTGAATACAATTTTAAGTAAACATGTGGTTTCCATATTTATTGCATTCTCAAGTCCTTACACCTTGTCCATTTCATCACTAGGCAGATCATACAGAAAGGAGACCAGTTACGTGAAATCTGTTTAATAAAACTGGAAACTGTGACTTGTATGAAATGATTGTTGTGCAGCTGTTTCAGGTGAATGACCTTGAGTTTGAAACCGAGGCATTCTTATAACACTTATCCAGTTTTATGATACAGATTTCATGGAATTGGTTTAGGCTCCAAATGGATGAGAGTGGCAGTTCATTTCTTGTCTCGTTTTTGGGTGATGGCACCATGCGGACGTCCTGTCTCCATCTCTGATGTCAAGTAACAACTAACTGGTACTGGGCACATTGCGGCACATGTAACCATGGTATCTAGCCTCATGACTCCGACCAGATTGTGATGAATTCTCAGATGACCTACATTTAGTGAAGAAAGTAATGTTAGCAGTGTCAGTGGTTTGTGTTAAGTACCCAGAATCCTGTGGTGAATTATAACCTCACATTGTTTAACCCTTCAAAGTTGAAGCATGCCCTAATAATATTTGCTTCCTACCCAAAATGAAACATTGCAGTTTGTTCTGAGAATAATATGAAACTCATGAATATTCTCTGTAGGCAAAATGCTGAGTTATTAATTATTGTAAACGGTTATGACTAGTAAGTGTTTAGTATGCTCCTGTGAGGCAGTGACAAATTGAGCCAAATAAGTTTTTATTAGTGTAGCCATTTGGATGGGCTACGTATTTCCAGCAGTTACAGGAAAGAAAATAAATTTGAAATTGGAGAAAAAATTATCGAGTGAAAACTGAATGACTATAAATCGATTTCGGATTAATCGAAATATATCACAATAGTACATCGATCGTTGAATCGAGCGGTCTGTGTGAACAGTTCATTGTAACAGAAAGGTTGCTTTCCAGCTTCTGAGACAAGAAGGAAACGCTACATTCCTGGTGATATTAGGAACTCAAGTGCTCAACAAAGAAAAATAACATTTTTATTTTTTCGGTAAGTGTATATTGTGATTTCATAAGTGATGTAAATATTGTAATTTGCCAAATTTGGTGACAGTATTATAAAACGCCATGTATGCAATTCTGCCAATATGCCAAAGTTCAAAAATGAGGGTATAGAAGGAAGCAAGTATGGTATTTTCTATGGTATCCTTCCGCCAAACTTCAAAATAGCCGAACCTCCCAAATTATCTTAAGATCTCAATCGATTTCAGATAATCTCCGCACAGGACATACTGTAATTCAGAAACAGAAATAACAAACGATAAAAGTATGAGTCGATTTGTGAATGAGTTCTGTGATTGGAGTGGCGCGCTTGTTGCTAGAGGTCAGTAGCTCCTGGCACCAGCCAACGTGCAGCAGCTCGTACGTCGTCAAAGTAAGTAAGAGTGGTTAATAAGAGATTAGAAAAGTGCTGTTCAGTCGGTATCGAAATACACGTTTTAATTTACTTCTTCCGGAGGATTTTCTTAAACAGTGTTTGGAGAGCCTGAGTGGAAGAGACCGCTGGGGAAACCTAGACGTAGATGGGAGGATAATATCAGGCGGGATCTATGGGAGATAGGAGTTGAAGGAGACTGGATTTTGTTGGCCCAGGACAGGGTCCGGTGGAGGGCTTTGGTTAATACGGTGATGAACCTTCGGCTTCGGTAAGCCATCTAGTTAGTTATGTGTTTACACACAATAGCCATATTTATTTAGAGGTGACATTATCTTAAATTAATATCGATATCGTCTGTTTCGACCGTTCGAGGTTGAACCTTTTCGACTGTGTTCTGTCTGTTTCTACGATCTGGTTCCAACGGGAATCAATTTTAAAATCCGGTTCCGACAAATCAAACAGACTTATTTATTATTTCAAATTATATGGTATCAGTTTATTCACAGTCGTTAACTGGCTGATAATCTACATTTAGTTCCAACGGGAATCAATTTTAAAATTCGGCTCCGTCCCACGTTCCGAGACAACACGCTAGCTTCCTTTTAAAACAAATCAAACAGACTTATTTCTTATTTCAAATTATATGGTATCAGTCTATTCACTGTCGTTAACTGGCTGATAATCTACATTTGATATAATAGTTGTTTGAAAAAACAGTGGAATGTTTTTGAATGCAGTGGTTGATTTCTGGAAGAAATTGTGGTCTCAGCTTGAAGTACTACGTCGTGAGTCAGAAAATATTGTGCACGGACACGTAAAGGTCGGTTTTATCCAGTTTTGGTGTGGGTGCGACAGTTAATGCCGCGTTTGGAACGTAACACTTTTATGTGGGAACATGAGAAATTTTAATAACTGTTCATATTGTGTCGATATATCCTGTCTGGAAAGCTCTTACACACGTATCGCGGGTTTACACACGCACATCAAATTGTTTTGTTTCCGTTTCCTGGCCAACGGCGTGAGGTTTATTAAACACGACAACTGAATTCGCAAGAGAATGAATTGTTGTGCGGTGATTCTCACTACAGCCACAAGATAGTACAGTGTTATACGCCTTAACCATTAATTAAACATATTTGTTTAAATCTTGTCAGTCACAATCACAATAAAATTCCTATTAAATATATAAAATATTTAAAATTTAAAAATTTAAAATTTAAAAATTAAATATTTTATAATATTTTAATATTTAATAGGAATTTTATTGTGATTGTGACTGACAAGATTTAAACAAATATATATTTATCACAATATGACGCAACTTTATCATCTCATTAATTAAACTATTACAAATATGAATTTATAGTATTGCTTTATTGTTGGTGCGACACAGTTCGATTTCACCCGTAATCTCTTATGTTGAAGAGTTATCTAGACAACCGGTAAGTTTCAGCAGAAATTAAGCCATCGTGAGGTCTGTAACTTCAGACCGAAACACAGAAAAAAAACTCCGAAACGTCTTTCTAAGTCTTAAGACGGATTTGCGCCCAAGATACCATTAACAGAGCTTCCAGTCACCGTCTTTTGCTGAGCCCGAAGGTTCATTATCTACAATAGCCTGCGAGATCGAAATATTTCGTTAAATATATTTTAAAACAATAAAAATTGTAGTTAAAATTAGGCCCGTGTTCAAAGTAAGTAATTTAGCTGGCGCCATTTTGTTTTGACCTAAACAGTACGTCATGTGTAAACAGTAATTGCGTAAGCAATTAACGCGAATCGTTCGTGGTTCACCTGTGACTGTTTTTAACTGCCGAATTGGGACGTAGAGACGTCGTTTCACGTCGCTTGATCAGTTCATCTACAGACGATGCGTTATTGTCGAGGCCACAGAGTCACAATGTTATTGATCAGTCAGGTGTGTTGCGGGTGGACGACCCTTCACAAACCGACGGGCCTCCTTCGGTAAGACTGACTTTCTGGCGTCAGGTGCAGTATATTTCGTCCTGACTGTACACAACTCTGACCCAATTTTACCCATTGTTTTCTACGAACGTGGAAGGCAAAGGGGTGAAGTTTTTTTATAAATAATTGGATGGGCTGAGCGTGTAGCACTCACGGCGAAAGAAAAATGTACAGAATTTTATTCGGAATATGTGAAGAAAAGATATTATTAAAAGTGACCTCAGTAAATATACCGAGGTGGACTGGAATCAGCTGGCTGAAAAGTTTTATAAGAATTTTCCCAAGTAGGATTCGAGGTTTTCACGGGGGCGAGTACGAAGATGGCTGTCTTCTGTGTCGTGGCATCGTGTAGTCTGGTAGAAGTTAACCAATGTTTTAAAAGTCCTTGCTGTCTCCAACTTCAGGGCTATGAGTGAAGGTTGGTAAACTTCTACCGCGGCGGTACAACCCGGAAGATAGGGATCAAGGACTTTCGTGGCTCGAGTAGAAACTATCAGATTTTTAAGGAGGTCTTTCCGTGGAGTGCAGTGTCAATAAAACCGGCTGACGCACTGACACAGCAATTGACGAACAATTAGTTCACGTTCGTACCGGGGGAGACAGGCCATGCGAGTTATCGAACTGTGTTCGAGGGGAGAACCACCCACCGCCTGTTTCATCGCTGGTGCTGCTTTGTGGGTCGAGTAGAAACCTGCGTTGACCGACACATGTGACGGAGAACCGATTGTGGTGACTGCAAGCGAGCTACAGGGCGACACTGCAAGCTCTCCAGCCGATACAGCGCCGTTGAATAAACAACTCTGCATCCATCGTGAATGTCTTGTAACGTTTTCTAGGGGCACCAATGGGCGGGATCCTGGTGCTGCTGGGAGCTCTGCTGTGGACACGGGGCGCCTCGCCCGCGGGGGCTCAGCTGTCTCGAATCGTAAGTAGCCAAGGTACACCGATACT